TTTCATGTTTTTTGGGGGTATATTAAAATCAGACTAATATAATGTACCGCTGATCGTATTAGCTATCTCGCAATAAATGGAATGTGAATTGTCAAGATTTCACTGGACGTTCTTAATCAATGTATTGATTGACCGTGGCAACTGGAAATAGCGGATTATTCATCTCACCCACTGCCGTCAACCAACAACTAGTTTAAAAACTGTGTTGGACATTTAAACATCGTCTGCTTCAAGGGTTAATGCGTAAATATACACCATTTACATGCCCGTAATGTCACCGACCTCACCTCAAGAGGTATGAACATGTTCATTCCAACAAAATAATAATCTTAATCTGACCTTGCATCTTATTCAGGATTTGTTCAGATCTACATTGAAACCTGTTCAATCAGTCATTGACGACTCGGGCTTACAGAAACAAGATATCAATGAAATCGTTCTCATTGGTGGATCCACTCGTATCCCCAAAATACAACAGTTGGTGAGAGATTTTTTCGGCGGAAAGGAGCCATCTCGTGGTATAAATCCTGACGAAGCTGTTGCCTATGGAGCTGCGGTACAGGGTGGCATACTAGCTGGGGAAACGTGGACAAGTAAGTTTATAATAGTAGAAGTTTTTATATTCTTATTATTATTTGCAGATTTTCTTTTTGAACAGCGAACTATAAAATATTGTTTGCCTTATTACAGTTGATGACTTGAGGTGACGTCACCGTGAATAGATAGTTGCATTGTATAGGTTTAATTTACGGGGCGATCGATGGTAGTGGGGTTTGTAGTTATTGTAGAATCGACTGATTTTATATTCATTGTCATAGTTTTTCTTTTTTGATTTCAGGGGCCATTGAAGTTTTGGATATCACTTCATTGGCTCTAGGATTTGAAATTGTTGGCGGTGAACTGACCGAACTTATTCCCAAAAATACTCGAATCCCGACGAAAAAGTCAAAATTCTTCTTTCTGGATAAATTCCGGCCATCAGTCACGATTAGAGTATTTGAAGGCGAACGTCCGATGACGAAATATGGTCAACCATTTAGTGTATTAGATGTGGGTGTGGCACAAGTTGACGTAATATTCAAGGTAGACTCTAACGGTATACTGAGTTTCACTGCGATATACAATGACAGAGTACATGGGATATGGGACAAAAATACAATCGATACCGATCAAAATAGACTTTCACCTGGAGATAT